TTCTCCTTACGCCCGTTTTGGCGCTGCTGTTCAAGTTTCCATACAAAAGGACAATGTTAAAATTGGCCTAAGAACCAACACCAATTTGCCATTTATGATAATTCTTAGTATATTTTTTGCGATAATTATCAGTATTTAGATTGTCACGGACACTTCCAGTTAAGTAAGCTAAATTAAAAAGTTAAAAAATAATCTGAGACAATAAATACCATTATTATGTGTATAATCTATGGCAGCGCTGCAAACAAAACACTCGATCTTCCTAATGCCGGCACTGCACTTGACTATTCGTATTTGCTATTTTAAAACATGACATCAGTCTGTCCTTTTCATTCCTTATTTAAGCATGACAAGGACAAACTGTTGTCAAGTGAAGGGCCGGCATAAAACTCGTTACTCTGTGGTTGTGGTGCATGCAGTTTGCATTCGTAGTAATCTGTGGCATTCGTGCATTCCAAAGAGTAGTTTAATATACCGGAAAGTGCATTCTCGTTTCGGATTACCTGTTGTGTGTGTTTATTTGCGATTGTTTTTCCTATAATTTAACTATTTCGGCTATCTAATATGCCGTCGATGTTACCAAAGAGCAGAGCCCTTATTAACAAGTGCTAGTGAACCTGTGCCACAACATCCTGAAAGGATCATACTGCCAAATTATTCAAGAACACCTAATACACATTCACGCTGCATATTTACACAATATACATGTGATATACAAATAAATACAACAAACAATATGATACGTGAAAAATAGTCAATAAATAAGAAGCAAAACTACAGTTTTTATTTTCTACCTAACCAAGTTTTTCCTAATAGTTATTCTTTAAAATCGCACCGAATAAAATGAATTAGTTGTAATATTAATTCACTTTATACTGAGTTCATACTAAATTCATAGGTTGATGTATGTTTCATTGAATATTAAACATAACCTCAAAAGAGTTTTAGTTTTCCTAATAATTTAAGTTCTTAGAAGTGTCCGTCAATAATCTTTGTTTTAACAGTCATTTACTTACGATTTTGAACCTAGAAAATAATATTTCATGATTGTTGGTTCTTAGGCTAACTATGTATGGACGCTGAACAATGTCCTTTGACAATGACTATTCGAATACGATATTGGTTCGTGCTAAGGGTACTGTTAGTAAATAAAGAGCCTAGCTTAATGTTAATATTTGTAAACTAATAATAATCAAGAACTCCCGTATCTTAAATTCTTGTCATAAAGGTTGTCCTTTCGCGTAGAAAGAAAATAAACCAATGAAAGTTGCGAAGCGACCGGGTCTTATATTGGATACCTTAAAAGTATTTGATCAAATATTTAAAAGTGGCGGAAAGTGTACGGAAGTAAATGCGCCGACGCTACAAAGTGAATTGTAAATGTTGCCGCGACGTTGATTCGCAGATCCACTGAGACAACTCATAATAAACCCAATCGCGAAGTTTCAGCAGAATGGGGAAGCAGCTCATCTAGCTCTCATAATATTTTAGAAGCGATGTAACTGAGAGGGTTTCGACGTAGAATAATACGGAGAATTTGCTTTAGCAATTTGTCTGGCATGGCGGAGGCGAGGCAGATTTAAGTGTGTATTGCTATTTTAACGTATTTGGGTCAAGGCCTTTTAGAATAGAGAAAATAGATATATATATATATATATATAAAATATATAGGTTCTGTTTTAATGTGATGCGTCATAGTTGCTGTTTTGTTTTCAGGTGCTGTCAATAGCGAGTTCCAATAAAACTCTAATACCATCTTCGTTTCAAACATCTGATTAACATCATATCATTTTCCTTTAATAATGTTAACTTTAAATCATTATTCCTTCTTCGTAGAAGTTTCCATTAGTTAATGAAAATATTTGAGTGAATGAGGTATTTCTTTGTTTGACTTATTAGTAAAAAAAATCCACCGTTCCCGGACATTGTGTCAATTGTTGAGACGAAAATACTCCTGGATAGGTTGATAATCTTAGCAGCTTGCATGAGCACCAAAAACATCACGTAAGTAGCACAAAGTTGTAAACTTCATTGGATCTAAAATGTACCGTCGTTGAAGCACCTCAAGCTTGAAGAAAATATATAAACCACTCAGGGCGATTGCATTTCGAAGTGCAATGAGGACACGGTACATGTCTCCCTACACGTGCCAAGGAACGCTTGCTTGAGCATTACCTCATGTCGTGGTATTACTAAGGTTTATAAAATACATGTTACATTTAGCGATGCAGCGCTCAATACTGCACTAGTAATTCTTGGCAATGGAGCCACTCGTCGAAATAGTAGAATCTAGTATCGCATTGCAAAATATTATCATTGTTGTGAAATTGCTAAGTTGTAACGATGTAACTGTGGCTGAGTGGCTTGTACGCCGGGTTTCATGGTGTCGTCGACTCGAGAGGTCCGGGTTCGAATCCCGGTGGGGGCAGATGTTTGTGTGATGAATACAAGCATTTATACCCAGTCATAGATGTTTAATATGTATTTCTATATAAATATACTAATATATGGACAGTATATGTATTCTATCCGTTACCCTAGCATCCAATAACACAAGCCTTGTAGTGTTTTACTTTGGGCTAGGCTAATTGGTGTGAGTGTTGGAAATATTTATTTATTTATATTTAACTACCAAAACGAGCACTTGGAAGCACCGACTGTGATAAGTTGTCAAAACGTGATACAGAAACGGTAGAGTAATTAATAATTTATTTTAATTTAAGATAAAGGGACTTACGAAAGTACAAAGGCATATTTTGTGAATAAGGATATATAAGTTTTAAAATAATTAATATATATTAACGTAACCACTTCTTTTTTCAAAACGTCCCTAGTATAAATAAATGTAGGAAATTGAAAAAAAAGTTGTCTGATTTCTTGTAATTTGGTCACGCATGTTAAGAACATAGGAGAACATCATGTGTATTGTTGTAATTCCAGTTTGCCAGAAGCAGCTACATAAAGTCATGATAATTTAGAAACATTCTTTTTTTTTATTGTTAACCTGAATTTTAAATTTGACTGTAATTGGTCCCAATCCAGGCTTTAACTATATGCGTACAAAATTTCATCCAAAACGGTCAGTACTTTTTGCGTGACTGAGTAACAAACATACAAATACACAAACATACTAACTCACGATGAGAGATGATCAGTTATTAATTATTTTGTGTATAAAACTTGCTTACGCAACCGACCGCGCTAACTACTTCCGCCATCGAGCTTCTCAATTTCTTGTGTGTTTGTCATTGTGGTTTACAGTAACAGTTCTTTTTATATAATTGTAAATGTGAAGTTGTTAACTATTCCCATCAAATGAAAATACACTTCTGGACACATCTATTGGCCCACCTTGTATTTTCAGTTTCGTTTGGTCCTAGCTAAAATTTTATATTAGGTCGAGCAAAAAGTTTTTACGCAGTTTTGAACCTGGCACATTCACAATTTCATTCAATAGTCTTTTTTTGAATTTCGAACACAGAATTTAAAGAAACAAAAGACCAAATTGACCCTGTTTGTTGATATCAAACAATCGAATACTAAGAAAACTTGGTTTTATTGGTTTACTTGGATTTAATTCTTGAAAAAGTGATTGATATCTTTGGTTTTGCAACAAACATTACTTATTCTTAACATTAAGGTGAGGTTCTATCAATAATCTATGGATACTTCACCTGAAGTCGCCGCCCAAGCTGTGACACTTATTCAGGCCGGACACAGCCAAAGAAACGTGAGTGCTCAACTTAATTTAAGTCGATCTGCGGTCCGAAATGTTTATCGGAGGTACCTAGAGACTGGCGGCTTTGTTCATCGCCAAGGAAGGCCACGATCTCGGGTCACAACTGAAAGGCAGGATCGATTCATCGTGACGACCAGCTTGAGAAATCGTCACCTTACCTCCATTGAGATACAAAAACCAATTCGCGACTTCCACGGAGTATCTGTGAGCGCTCGAACTGTTCGAAGAAGGTTAAAAGAACGCGATATGGTACCACACAAGCCAGCTAATGGGCCCAAACTAACGCGAGCCCACCGAACAGCGCGCCTTCATTTCGCACGCAGTCATTTAAATTGGACACAGCAAGATTGGAGCCGTTTACTCTTTTCTGATGAGTCTAAAATTGTGTTACATGGCAATGATGGAAGGAAGAAGGTCTACCGACGTAAGGGAGAGCGTTTCGCACAATGCTGCTTTGAAGAGAGGGTTGCTTATGGCGGTGGCTCATGGACTGTCTGGGGCGGTATATCCGCGAGTGGCAAAACTCAACTTGAGGTTGTTACAGGACCACGGCTGCCAACATTAAATGCTGAAAGGTACATTCGTGAGTGCTTAGAACCTCCCGTGATACCATACGCGGACTATGTGGGCCCAAATTTCCTTTTAATGCACGATAATGCAAGAGCCCATGCGGCCGGCATCGTCAGGGAATATCTTCGGGATGTGAACATCACAGTTATGGACTGGCCAGCTAGAAGCCCAGACATGAACCCCATTGAGCACATGTGGGACGAGCTAAAAAGACGTGTTAGGGCTCGTCAGCCAGTTGCCCAGACGATGCAGGAGTTGAAAACTGCCATAGAAGAGGAATGGGAGATGATCCCTCAAAATTTTATAGAGCGGTTGATAAACTCTATGCCTAATCGTATGAGAGCTGTGGTAGATGTCCATGGAGGCAACACGCGTTATTAAATTAAACTTTTATTTGATAAAACATGTTTTTTATTCAAAAATCAATTTTCTTTAACGAGGCGCATATCCGACTTGTTAGGCGTAGCTCCATGTCGTTTGGTATTCTAAATTCAAATTTAAAACAATACGATCGAAAAAGATGGTAAAATGTATCAAGTTTAAAACTGCATCAACAGTTTTTGTTCAATCTAGCAATCATATTTCGGTAGGGGCCATCGAAACCTAAACTCTAAGGTGGGCCAATAGATGTGTCCAGAAGTGTATATTGCCTTTAATTTAATCGCACTGCCAATAAAAAGTGTATATTTGACTAAATTCAATGTTTATTACTGTTAAGAAAAATTAAATATTGCTTTAAATAAAACTTAAACATGATTAACTATTTGCGCCAGATGATGGATTTTCTATTAACTCAATACTTTTGATAGATAATCTCTTCGAATCTTCAATCGTTGACGGGAGTTCAGTGTTTTTTGTTTCAGGAATCGGTAAGCAGAAAACTGAGGCCATTATAGCTAATACACCGAATACTATTGCAGATGTAGTTGGTGATAAGGCATTTATAGGTGGGGCTACAATTTGGCCTGCTCTTGACATAACGGATAGAAATCCTAAGGCAGAATTTCTTATTGTAGTTGGAAATAATTCGACTCCATATAGAAATACAATGATGAAAGACATCAAGAAGAAGCAGTTGCATATACATGCGATTACCACTCTCACCCAAAGCCACTTCTCAGGGATGCATATTACTATAATTATTAACAAGCCCGATAGAAAATTCGATGTCATTAGAAACGGACGCCGATTTAATATCTTCAGCAAAAATACTGCGGCAATTGTACCTGGTAGTAGCAGAGCTCCAGATATAGCAACGTTTGCATGTATGTCTCCATTCATCCTACCTATATATTGTGACACACCGTAGTAGCCCATCCCACAAACAAAATAATTAAACGACATACATAGGAAGTTGATGGTTAGTTTTCTGTGCTTAAAGATTTGCCAAAATTCAACTTTGGTTTTACTACTTGAAGCTTGGTTGGCTACGTATGCTTCCATTTCTTCTTTAACTGTAGGACTTGAAGATCGACTGCTGAAATTGAGAAGTAATAGTGTAATGTAGATTCAAAACGGTTTTAAAAATTCCATAATATAGAAATAAAAATATTTAAACATCGATCATATTCAATTTCACCCAGTTCAGAGTTAAATTTCTAGTTAATACAGAAACAGCTTTCTTTAATACTACCGAAGAGGACAAAATTATACGTACTACTTAGTCACTCTTTCTATAACCTTAGCTGCTTTATCTATTTGACCATTGTCCATTAACCATTTAGGGGATTCCATCACTAGCCATTGAAATCCAAGGAAAAGGAACATAGGTACGGACAGGGCCAGCTGTAATTCATCGCAGTGCCTCAGCATATACGATATCCCAGCTAACGACATGTGGCTTATATTAAGAGGGATGTGATACAAGGCTGTGATGATTTCACGGTGTCTAGCACCACAGTACTCTACACACAGAACAAACGAAGTGACAATAGTGCCGGCTATTGCGATGCCTTCGATGAGTCTCATGACTATAAATAAAGTCGAATTGGGCATCACACATACGAGGCATCCAGATATTGCTAAAATGAAGCAGCTTAGAGAAAATGAAGGTACTCGTCCAAATCTGAAAAAGAAAATATGATAAAATCAGAGGATGGAATAAACAGTGTAGTGCCTCAATAGGTAGTAAAAATTTCACTGATTAATCATTAATATTCTTGTTAGCAGCAACTTGGACCGGATCAATGCTATTGTAGCGATAAGGCATGACTTGTTTAGTATCTTTAGGGTTAAACCTATTGCTGTCACGTTGCTTTTTGTTTTTAAAACACCGACAGGAACAATAAAAAATAATGGCAACAATTTTTTAATGTCGTTAGCTATTTACATGTTTTTCATAAGAGTGATATACTGATATTTATACATTATTTATTGTACTTTCTAAAATAAATATGTATTCACTATACTTAAGAGCAAACCTAAAATATTTTTTATGAAAATCTTACTTACTTATCAGACAGAAATCCGAAAACGAAAGCTCCTATCAGCAATCCTGCATATAACATACTCTGAGAGAAGCTCACCAACCACGCATTATCGCACACCATATTAAATTTTGTCTGAATTGTTTCCGTGAAAACACTCCTGTCCCACCAGGGATCTTCGCAAGGACATGCATTCTTGGTATCAGATCTCGTAATGGTGTTATTACAGTAGTAATCAATGGGTGGCGTTAAGAATATTAGACTCAGCACATGCCAATAAGGTGGTATTTTACTCAAAAATAATAGGGAATAAAAATAGTAGTGATATGGCGAAATCACATTAAGATACTTCTCGATTGGATTGTGGCCTTTCGATTTTTTCACATTCGTCATTTATGTTGTTAATATGTCTGATGTTATATGAAAATTTTACCATGGAGTTTTATGTAATAATAATCTCGTTGGCTTCGAAATCACGTTCGGTAGTATAGATTTTCAAGCAAGCAGCGCTATCGGCTTCCTATAAATTTGAAAGTTTTGCTCCATAAAGGATGTAATGTGTGTGAAGTTTAGTGTTGCTGTAATAGAATATATTGTTACTGTTCACATTAAAATTTTAGTCGGTTGCAGTAAGCCACTTGCATGGGAATAAGACTTTAATATATAAAATCTTAGTGAAAAAATATTTGTTCCTTTTATCGTTTGCCGTGTTCTTAGAAATATTGGAATATTACAAAAAAAAATGAATTCATACCAATAAAAGATAATTAGTATACCAGTTCTGATATCATTCAAAAGTACAATATTATCATTTAATTATAACTTATATTTTACTAACTTATATATATTATTACATGATTTGAGTAGGTTTCTTTCATAATCGCTTAACATCATACCATATTCAAAATTAAAATTACTTTTTAGCTTATATTTTTCTAATAAAATAGTTGATATTGACACTCATAAAACCAAATCTAGTTTTATTGTTTGATTTTGATTTTAAATAATATAAAAAAGTTTGATGCTATATCAAGCATAGATTTTTAAATCAATAATATAACTGCTCGTAATATACGCCCATTCCGATAAAAACGCAGATTCAGCAAGTCGTACGTATGAAATATGGCATACTTACCTAAGGCTATCAAGATGACATCCATCACTTGCTCATATTTCTGATATTGTAAGTGTAAATATTGATAACTTTAAGGATCAGCTATTTTGTTATGATAGATTACCGAATGTTGAACTGAATCGCCGATTTTTGGCAGTCATCTAATATCATTGCTATCACTTATTGGTTCAAACTATGGTACCATTTCTTAATTTTGAATCCAATCCTACTAATATTAAAATGTAAAAGTTTGTATAGTTGTTACTGAATCACACAAAATTACTGAACGGGTTTGGATAAAATTTGGTAAGCATACAGTTTATGTCCCGAATTGAGACACGAGATATTTTTTTGTGAAAGAATCCAACTCTCGAGAATTGGCAAAAATAAATTAAACGTTTATTTATTTAACGTGTGCTATAATTTTAACTTTTTGCAAGGTTTTTTAAACATGATTTTTAAAAACACCGGGGTCCCATTTAAATCCTTAAATCGTTTATTTTTAATAATGCAAACTTTATTCATGAAATTGGCTCGCAAAACTATATTATTAATTTTGTGCATGTTTTCTACAAAATCAGTATATTCGCTTATTGAGAAAGATGAATTCCAAAGTAAAATATTGAATAATATTTATTCTTCAGTACCTACGTTAACGTCTACGATAGTATTTTGCTACTACATCTTTAATGATATCCGCAGCAAAGAATTTAATTCCGGTGCTTGCACGAAACGATATCCGTCGTAAGGTACGCTAAGCCATTGGTCCCGGCGGAATCGTCGTTAGCGCCTATCTATCCGCACTGGACCGGCGCAGTGGGACATTTCCCCAATCTCCCTATTCCATCCATAGGGATAGGCTGATGATGAATGAATGAATAAATAAATATTCTTTATTGCACTATTATACAAAAAACAAAATCATAAAACACAGGAACGCAAACACAAAAGGTGACCTTATTGCCAGAGTAGTAATCCCTACCAAGCAACCTTTAGCTGAATGAAACCATACCATAATAATAAAAGAAACTGCAGGCTAGTGCATAGTAAAAATAAATAAATAAACGTAAATACAAAAATATAATAAGTATACAAGGGAGCTTTAAAATACCATACAGCGTAATGAACAGATAAAAAGATGAGGCAGAGTCCAGCTTGAGGAAATATTCCTTAATTTTAATACCAAAGGAGTCTCTCGTCTGTGCTCGTTTAATATCAGAAGGTAGAGTTCCACAATTTTACAGTTCTTACATAGAATGAATTGGCTTCAAAATCAGAGGAGTGGGCTGGGATATCTAAGGAAAGGTTATGATTGAATACAGTATCAGCAGCTTACACAATTAATATTAAGAATTTAAAATGATATGCTAAGCAACAACAAGTTAACCATACCTAAATTAATCCTAAAATCTTTCAAAAGTATTATTCCTAACTGAACCTATATATTGGGTCATGTGATTCTAAGCTGTAAAAGTAAATGGTGGTGTAAAATATGATTTTAACATGCAGTCATTGTGATTTGGTAGTGGTCATGGCGAATGCAAGACGGTTTGGAAATTGAAGTCGTTCAAACTAAAACGGCAAATCAACCTGCCTGGACAACTATTAAGATGAGATTTTATGAAATTCAGCCTCTTAAGCGTGAAAGCAAAAAACGTCTGTTCGTAAAATCTTATCCCTTGGACCTATTGACTGCAAATTTTGCATACACATTATTGAATAGATGTACATAAAGCAAGTCACATAAAATTTTTACGACTACCCTCAAAAAATTACAATGTTTCCTGTTAAACTTTTTATGCGAGATCATCCAAAAGTGTAAAGGATTGATTAAAAATTTGCACACCTACTCTATATAAATTAAAAATGCTATTTGTGTTGTCATTTTTCAAAACTATATGGCATGTTGTATATTTAAATAGTGCGTCTACGCACGCCTTCACTTTTGGTCGTAGAGATATTCGTTCGGACGTGATATTTAATAAATAGGTTGTTTAAATGACGTAGGCATCAAACGAGAAGGGATTTTTTAATATTTCACTGTGAATTGGGTGCTATAGAGTTTCAAAGTTTGTATAGAAAAACGAGTTTGGCTAGCTTGATAGCTCTGAAACTTGCCATAGATAAACTAAACTGAAACGTAAAAATATATTTTTTTGAGAAAAAAGGATAGCAAGTATCTATAAAATATATTCAGCAAATTTTCTCTAATATGTTATTACAAGCCGCGCCCCGCGGTTTTACCCGCGAAGTTCCATTCCCTTAGGAATTCTAGGAAAAAAAGATATTCAACCTATATGCCTAAAAGAAACTCTTTGCTAAATAGAAAAATCAGGATGGCCATGCCCATATAATAGATGTATTATAATCGACTAGTTTACTTAGAAACTTCTTGCTAAGTTGAAAAATCAGGGTGGCCATATGCCTGCATGACCTATTTTCAGCAGATTTGCTCTGATTTGTTCAAAACTATAACAGTCAGCTGTGATCCGTCAAATTATCAAAAACTATATTAGTCAGTTGTGATATGTCAAATAGTCAAAAGTCTGTCAAACTCTTGTAATATTATGTCAAAAGACAAAAAGTCTGTCAGTGTGTTTTTATCTGTCAAATAGTCAAAAAATCCTTCAGTTAGTTGGGATCCGTTAAAGAGTAAAAATCTCTGTCACTCAGTTTTGATCTGTCAAAGAGTAAAAACCTCTGTTAGTCAGTTGTGATCTGTCAAATAGTCCAAAAGTCTGTCAGTCTGTTGTGATTTGTCAAATAGTCAAAATATCTGTCTCTATGTCGTGGCGTGACTACCAGGCTTCCAAAAGGCAATGGAAAAGAATTACATAAGAAACTCAGTCCGGCTACGTTCAAAATCTGTATTAATTTATCGTGTTTTGTTTTTCTTTATATCTTTATATTTTTTTAAGCAGGCAAAACCACTATTTGCACACGTTGGCGCCTATGGAGTACACCTCTCGCCTCTCACAAGTCTCACGGGTGCGAAATGGAGAAGTCGTAAATGAGTCCGCGCGACTTAAGAGCGCTTACTACATACTATCCGTTTAAAAACCCTACGAATACCCTCTACGCTACGCTGTTAAGTGCGTAACCGCAAGATCCCCGTAGGAGGATTTCACCTCATCTCCATACCTGACAGCTTCCCGGCCTAGCCGGGGCTCCACGGCAGGGATCACCCGGGACATCTCGGGTGATTCCACAGACATGCGCTGATTTGTCAGCACTGGAAGCTAAGTGCGCGGTATATTGCCCACCGCACCGCTCCCCGCGCTACGGAAGGACGGCCTAGGCGTTCCCCTCGCAGGCCCTTCCGCGGCCCTCTCATGTAGGACAGAACTACAAGAGAGGGCTGCCGTAACAGAAACCGTCGGGGATAGCGAAAGATTCACTGTCACTAGGCGAGAAGAGGCATGACGCGCCTTCGCCTTCCAGTACCTGTCCTTCTGCGAGGCGGGAAGAAGCGGCTAGAGGATTATCCTCCCGTCTCCTCACAGCCGCCTCCATTACTTTAACATACCTAATTACTTGTCATATGGTAAAGTTTAATATTTATTTAATAAATGACATTTTATCTTTAAATAAAAGATAATCATTATCATGATGAATTAATTATTTAATTTTAATAAAGAAGAACTATCGTAAAATGTAGAACTTTATTATTATTTACGTCTAAGTGCAAAACGGTTCAAGTTCAAAAATTACTAATATCATATATTTTGTTGTAGAGCCTAAAGTTGCTGAAGTTACAAAGCGCAAAATTAAATTTCACAAGAACCGCCTTCAGTGTATTAAAACTTGTATCGTCTGCTTTAACTTTTACTTGGGGGGTTCGATGTTTTTGCTCGCCACAGAGTCGGCTTCACCTCACATTACATGGAATAACATTTTCCCTGTGTTCGAAAGTAATTTACAATAAAACAAAGGCACCCGGTGACACTGTTATTTTCAATAAGCTCCTATGTACTGGGATAATGAAAAAAGTTTTTATTGCCGCCAATATGCGGTTAGGTGTGGGACCGAGGCTATAAGTGGCGCGAGACGCTTTTAAATTTAACTTGCGCGATATTCTTTTGAATGTAAAATTTCATATTAACTACGTCGGGCTTATAGAGGCACGTAGACATTTTACTACAAGTTACTACGAGCCGGCAGAAATGACTTTTCATAAGGCAGCGAGTTTCTCACGTTTCAAGCATGATATATATGCGATCTTTCTTGGGCGGGATCAAAATTATTGAAATAATACGAATACTGAGTGGAACAGTAGTTCTAATTAAGTTATGCAACTGTCAGGTAACTTTTGAATTATAGATAATTGTT